ACCAAGGCATTTCCAGCCAAAATTTCGTGGCAATCAGAGCACCATACAATTTTTATTGAATTAAACACGAAAACATCAATTTACGAGATCAACAAGTTATAAACGACTCGACAAACCTCAAAAGGGTCCGAGGCCTTACCATAAGGCCAAGAACACGTTGTTCCAATTCCCATAGCAACTTAACACTTATAATGCGTTCTCGTTCGATTTCACACGAATCGACGAAATTCACGTATATACACGACAAATATTATAATGAACCGAAACAAACGCATAAAATCATAAACACATACTAACACGTAGGGTACGAATAACACGTCAAATAAACACGTAAAAATAAACGAAGGGTCGAGGCTCGATACCGTTCTCGAGAAACGCGAGAATGGCTCAAACGAAAAAAGGACGGCACGACGGCTCGACGGCTTCGTGCAGCTCGCTGGGGAAGAAGGGCAGCGGCTCGACTGGTCGCGTAAGAGCAGCTTGCTCGCCACTGAGGTCGTGACGGTGGTGTCGCGGCGAGGGAAGGGCGGAGGAGGAGTTGCAGCGGCTCGTCGTGGAGGAGAAGGGCTCACCGGCGATCGCTCGTGGCCTGGTTGCGGCAACGACGTGATGATGGGATGAAGACGTCGATCGGATTTGCTGCGTCGAGAGGATGGCGTGGGATGATGGTGACGGGAAATATGTAGTGGGAAGGATGATGGCTGCGATCAGTTTCAAGAGGGAAGGAGATGAGGGCGACGATGATGATGAGAGGGTGAAGGATTTTACGAGGGATGAAGGCGCGATGGGAAGGGGATGAAAAGTGACGACAAATTTCTCCTCTCTGCTCTACGCGTGAGATCAAGAGAAATATTGGAAAAAAAAAGCTGCGGTGCGTTCTTTTTCCGCTGAGGGGGAGATCGAGATATATATATAGATTAGGTTTATATTCTTATTCCACAAGACACATAACACACACACACGATAGAGAGATAGAGAGATAACCGGCCGGTTCGGGCCCTCAGGCTGGGTATCGATTAGGTTCGCGGGCCAGTTCGTCAACGGTTTGGGATTTCGGTTTTTTCTCGGGCCCGAATAGTCCTAATATTAATTCGGTTCGGCTCGACAATGAAGATTAAAATTAGACGAATATTATTTATAGATATAAGACACACAATTTATTAAATAAATAATAATAACATTTAGACATTTAATTATAATTTAGCAAATAAATAATGTTTAGACAATTAGCATTTAATCACAATTTGACAAATAAATAATATTAGACACTCGATAATAATAATAATAACAATAATAATAATAATAATAATAATAATAATAATAATAATAATAATAACAGTAATAATAATAATAATAATAATAATAATAATAATAATAATAATAATAGATAAATCCCAAATAATCCATAATTATTCATAAATAAACGGGGCATTACAGTCTACCCACCTTAAAAGAAATCCGTCCTCGGGATTCAAAAACAAAAGAAACAAAAAATGAAAGAAAAGATACAAGGGACTCAAAACAAGAAGTTCGGATATCTTTTCCTAATCTCGACCTCCTTCTCCCAAGTCGCCTTGGACTCATCATGTCGGCTCCACTGCACCTTCACGAGACTCACCGCCCGGTTCCTCAACTGATGGACCTTTTGGTCCAAAATGGCAACCGGCACCTCCTCATAGGTTAAAGTCTCGCTCAACCTGCAGCTCGCCGAAGTCCACCACGTGGTCGGGGTCATGCACATATCTACGCAACATCGAGACGTGAAACACATCATGCACTCCCGACTGATCCGGTGGTATAGCCAGCTGATAAGCAAAGTCCCCGACTCGGGCAAGGATCTCAAAGGGTCCAATGTAGCAAGGGCGAAGCTTCCCTTTCTTTCCGAAGCGAATCACACCCTTCATAGGCGAGACCTTCAGAAAGACATGGTCACCCACTGCATACACATGCTCCTGCCTCTTCCGATCGGCATAGACCTTCTGCCTCTCCTGTGCAGACCGGATATTCTTCTAGATCGCTTCAACAGCCTCCGAAGTCCTACGAATGAACTCCGGACCCATGATCTTCCTCTCCCCAACCTCATCCCAATACAAGGGTGTCCAGACTTTTCATCCGTACAAAGCCTCATACGGGGCCATCTTGATAGAGGAGTGATAGCTGTTGTTGTAAGTCAACTCGACCAACAGAAGGGCAGTCTCCCAGGTTAGGCTCCGGTCCAAGGCCACAACCCTCAATATGTCCTCCAAGTACTGGATCGTCTGCTCCGACTGACCATCTGTATCGGGGTGAAAGGCGGTGCTAAATTCCAACCTCGTCCCCACAGCTCGGTGCAGAGTCTTCCAGAACTGACTCGTGAATTTCGGGTCTCGATCAGACACAATCTCCACGGGCACCCCATGAAGTTTGACAATCTCGTCAACGAACAACTCGGCATACGCACTAGCTTCATAGTCGTCCGGACGGGCAGAAAGTGGGCGGACTTCGTGTGTCGATCCACAATCACGCAAATGGAGTCGTGACCGAACCTCGATCTCGACAATCCCACCAAGAAGTCCATGGTGAGTCGCTCCCACTTCCACATGGGAATGTCTAGTGGCTTCAACAGCCCTCTTGGTTTCTGGTGTTCAGCCTTCACTTGCTGACACACTAGACAACCATTCACGAAACGGGCTACCTGCCTCTTCATGCCTCGCCACCAAAACGACTTCCTGAGGTCCTGGTACATCTTCGAGCTACCAGGATGGATGTTGTACGGGGCACTATGGGCCTCTCTTAGAATCTCCTCCCGAAGTTCCCACACCTTCGGAACACATAGTCTACCCTCGAAGACCAATGTCCCATCAGGTGCGACTGCGAATCCTCCAACTTTACCGGCTTCCATCAACTCCTTCATCCGGCACAAAAAACGGTCATTCGGTTGCTCAGTGACTATCATCTCACGAAGAGTCGGTCCCACAACCAAGGCGGTCAACATACCACTAGCTGTCAAAGTCGACTCCACTGCCTCTAACTGTAGCCGCTCGAACTCCCGAACTAGGACATCTTGCCGGGTGAATAGGCAAGACAGCTGGCCATGACTCTTTCGACTCAACGCGTCGGCAACCACATTAGCTTTCTATGGATGGTAGCTAATCGTGCAGTCGTAGTCCTTGACCAACTCTAACCATCGGCGATGCTGCATGTTCAACTCTTTCTGAGTGAAAATGTACTTCAGGCTCTTATGGTCCGTGAAAATCTCGCACTTCCCTCCGTATAGGTAATGCCTCAAGATCTTTAAGGCATGGACCACTGCTGCTAGCTCTAAATCGTGCGTGGGATAATTCTACTCATGAGGCTTCAGCTGCCTCGACGCGTAGGCCACGACTTTCCCTTGTTGCATTAACACGCAGCCTAAACCCATCTTCGAAGCATCACTATGGATCGTGAACTCCAAAGTAGGATCGGGTATAGAAAATACTAGTGCGGTGGTAAGCCTCCCTTTCAATTCTTGGAAACTAGCCTCGCACTTCGGACTCTAATCAAACTTCACGGCTTTCTTCGTAAGGTTGGTTAGTGGCTGGGCTATCTTTGAGAAACCCTCAATGAACCTTCGGTAGTATCCTACTAACCCCAGGAAACTATAAATATCACTCGCATTTCTTGGTGTCTCCCACTTGCTCACCGCCTCGATCTTGGCGGGATCCACCTCAATGTCTCTAGCCGTCACGATGTGGCCGAGAAATGCCACACGATCAAGCCAGAACTCGCACTTCGAGAACTTAGCATACATTTTCTCATTGCGAAGGGTCTCCAGAACAATCCTCAGATGCTCCTTGTGCTGGTCGATGTTCCGAGAATACACCAGAATGTCATCAATGAACACAATGACAAACTGGTCTAGATACGGATGGAAAACCCTATTCATAAGGTCCATAAACACTGCTGGGGCAATGCTGAGTCCGAACGGCATCACCACGAACTCATAGTGGCCATATCTGGTACATAATGCAGTCATAGAAATATCTGACTCCCGGATCTTCAGCTGATGATAGCCAGACCTCAAATCGATCTTTGAAAAGACGCTGGCTCCCCTCAGCTGGTCGAAGAGATCCTCAATACGAGAAAGAGGGTACTTGTTCTTAACCGTAAGATGGTTAAGCTTTCGATAGTCAATGCACATGCGCATGGTTCTGTCATTCTTCTTCACGAATAAGATGGGCGTACCCCAAGAAAAAACACTCGGTCGAATAAAACCGAGCTTGAGCAATTCTTGGATTTGGGCCTTGAGCTCTTGAAGCTCCTTCGGCGCCATACGATAGGGGGCTTTCGAAACGGGACCAGCTCCGGGCACTAGGTCAATGGTGAACTCGACTTGACGATCAAGCGGTTTTTTGGGTAGTTCGTCGGGAAAGAAGTCGAGGTACTCGCAAACAATAGAGACTCTCTCGGGAGTCGCTCATCAACAACATCAGACACCATCGATATGAGATAGCCTTGACAGCTACCCTTGGAAAAGCTCTACCTAGCTTAGATAGATGAGATGACTCGAGGCACGGTCCTCGACTTCACCACAAAGAATACAACAGGCTAATCAGGTTCGGGAAAGAGAGTAACTTCACGCTCCAGGCACCGGATGTCAGCTCGATAACGAGTGAGCCAGTCCATGCCCAAGATCACGTCGAAGTCACGCATTTCGATAACATAAGCTTCGACCTCCAGAACTCGTCCAACGATATTAATAGAAAGATTACGAACCAAGGAATCAGAGATTTTCCCGAGGCTAGGCTAACCTCGAGAGGATCAACTTTGCACATATTGAAAATAGATAAGGCCTCCAGACAACGGGAAGATATAAAAGAATAGGTCGCTCCAGTATTACATAAAGCAAAGACAGGCACGTTGGATATCGAAAGCATTTCAGACATGATACCTGCGTTGTTGGCTGCCTCATCATGGGAAATAGTGTAGACACGGGCCTGGCTTCCGGTCCTCTGCTGGAATGGTGGGGGCTGTCTGGGTTGCTACTGATGAGGTGGCAGGGGAAACTGCTGTTGCTGCTGGGGCTGCTGGTATCCTTGCTGTCTGTTCGGTTCGGGGCATGCGCTGAAGAAGTGACCAGGTTTCATGCAGTTGTAGCAGACTCTTTGGGTGTATCGGCACTCTTCGGAATGGTAACGGCCGCAGTTATGACACTTCGGATACTGGCTCTGGGCGACGGGGCGTTCACCACGACGATCATTTCCGCCACGTTTTCGCTTTCGATTATCCCGACGGGAATCATCCTTTCTTTTGTTGGAGTTGGAGCCAAGATGAACTGAGGTGATGGGCTGTACAGACTGTGCAAGAGGCTGAGAAGGAGCTGAGGCAATGAGTTTCTGATAGTTCTCAAACTGGTGGGCATGGATAACAGTTTCACCATAGGGAAGGTTTCTCTGGCTAGTGAGGTGCATGCAGACATCGGGGTGGAGTCCGTCACAGAATTGAGTGGCCTTCTTAACCTCGGTGTCCACCAGTGTTGGAGCAAAGGCGCTCATGAAGGTAAAATCCCGCTCGTACTCATCAACAGTCTGGGTCCCCTAACGAAGATCCCAGAACTCACGCTGCATTTGTTTCTGGTAGCTGAGGGGGTAGTACTTCTCGAGTGTCACCTCCTGCATTCTGTCCCAGGTGAGATTGGCGCGCTCACCCGGCCTAAGTCTCCAGTGGTCGTGGCACCAGGTGTCAGCATCTCCCTCCATCTGATATTCAGCACAGACAATCTTCTGCTCATCAGTGCACATCAAGAGATTGAACATCCGCTCTAATTTGTGAATCCATTCAGCCACGGCTATGGGCCCCTCAACCCCGGTGAATGCCGGTGGGGTCAGCCGCTGGAACTTGATGACAGTCTCACGGTGGTCGTCCTGATGAGGTGGAGGCGGAGGCTGCTGAGCTTGCTGATTACGAGTTTGACAGGCCATAATTCTACAGTCATACAATTAAGGCATTTAGCACGAGACTAAGGTTTCTAGAGTTCAACAATTTTAAAAATAGGTGGATAAACTCCTAAGCTCCAATTGTCAATAAGTCATATAATATCATCTCATCAGGCGGTTCATAATCAACTCAAAATTACTTATGAAACTCGTACCTGAGTTGGCGAGGCACGACGGAAGCGAGTGGTCATATACTACATCCTATTATACAAGTATTTCACATAATTCACGTATACCAGTCTACAGAAACGCAGACTGTCTCTGATACCAAACTGAAACGCCCCACTTTGATTTAAAAAAATTCCGGACTTTCAGAAAAATTTGATTAAATTTTTCAAAATTCATTTAAAAAATATTTATGGCGTTACTCATTTTCAACATCAATCATCAATATAATTCCAATTCCCAAAACGGGTTTCCAAAAGTTCAACATTCACCCAAACCGGGTTCCAACAATAATCATAGAATCCAAGGAGCATCTCCTTATAATTATTTCAATCATAGAATCCGAAAAGCATATATGCAATAATATTCCAAGTTCATAAATCATAACATAGTTCATAACGCCGAAGCATAACAAATAATAAGACCGATCTCACAGACCGATCACCACTCGCTCTACTCCGCCGTCGTACCTGCCACGCTTAACCTGAAACGTTAATTTCAGATGAGAGTGAGCACAATTGGAAAAAGTAGTGCTCACCACTATGCAGTAAACATTAATCAATATATAAGAACAGTAATCATAAATAAGTCAGGTATGGTCACAACATGTATACGAATCAATTTATTATCCCAATCTCCCATCAATATTATCAATAATCAAGACTTATGTGCACACCTACGCATAGACTACTGCCGGTAAATTGTCCAATGGCTCTTGGCCTCACATCGACCTCCAAGCCAGTAGGAGTAAACCATCCCGCCGGCCAAGGCCTTGCCTTGGTCTTACAAGCGAGGATCTCCAGCCGAGGGACTCAGCCCTGTTCTTACGGCTTTAAAAAGAAGACTACCCTATGGGTACGTTCTATAGCTACGGGGATAACCGTTCGATGGCCGGTACAGCTCACATCGAAGGCTTCATAGTTCACATGCATACATTGATCATACCACAAATTATACATAACATTTACAGCATAGGAAATTTTAGAATAACAATCCCACCTGGTTGAGAGAATGAGATAGCACAGAAGCACGTACAGGCAGTGAGCTCGGTTCGTCAAGCACCTACATTAAGTCAAGATGCTACAATCAACATCAATCCTTACCAAAAAAAGGAAAACACAATCATACTTAGTCGAACTTGATTCGACTAAGTTGTTCGTGAAGTCCTGTGGACATTGGAACACTTAGACCCGGCTTTAAGTCTAAACCAAACATGCATAGGAGTTCACTAATCTTAATCAAAGATTTACCAAGTTCATACAAACAAAGAATAGCATGCGAGTCGGTTTTCCGTGTTTAAACACAAAAACTATATTTTAAAAATACAAGCCAATAATCACAAAATCTAATTGGACAGGTTTCCGAATGGGTTAAACTCTTAAATTTTAACCAAAAATAAAACTCACAGTACTTAGAAAAATCACCAAGTTTCAGCCCCAAACTCAAAGTATGCTACTTTATAAAATTCAGACAAGTTTATGGCAAAACGCTTCAAAAAGTTCTACCACTTCGCTTCGCTTCTAAAGTTGGGTCCTGAAACTTTTGGTTTGAGGGGTTCCAACTCTGACTAATATCAGAAGTTGACCTTAGCGGAAAGAGTAGGCCTTTTCTTTTATTGAGAAAAGCATTGAAATAAGATAAGCCAGGGAGTGGATCCGATGGTGTTAACATATAGTGGTTGTCGAGATCACCTCAGGTTTTCGGAAGTGAAAGATCATGCCAAGACTTGAGGCCACGAGTGTTGTGTTGGATTCCATGCCGTTGACACGTTCTTTAACTACTAACGGAATTGAGATCGGCTTGCCAGGGTTCAAGCCGGAAACTATGCTAAGGAGCTGATCCGAATACAGATACAAAGCCCCCACTCATCACAACGAACGGTGAGCTTTCCCACTAGCCTTCACAGGAGCGGCTACGAAGCTTACTGACCAAACTGAAGACTGAGGGCCCAATAGACTCCTGACTAAAAGTAAGGCATCGCTCATTGCTTTGATAAGAAGATAGTTTAGCGCTCGCTTTTCTTTATGACTTCACTTCCCTTCGTTCTTAGAGTCAATTGCATCGAGCCTACCTAATTTAACTGGTAGAGGTCTTAGGCTTATGTAGCCAATACGAAGCAAGCCCACACTGGCTCAGAGGGGGAACGAAGAAGACACTTGTAGAACCAGTCCTTAGTACACTCATTAACACCTCGATGGAGTTAATTCTGAATGGCGTCTGACTTACCCTAAAGCAGTGGTGAAGCATTTGCAGGCGTCAAGGACTGAACTTCGTAGGCTATTAGGAAAGGACAAATAAGGTCTTTGCACCAATCCCCTCTTTATAGAATAGCCTCAAAGAAGGACAACTGCTATTGGTACCTTGGGTGTGGATATGCATCTTTGCATTCATTAGCTCGCACAAGATCTACCTCCTAACCACAGAACCTCCGCTTCGTACCTCATACTGCTACCCCGATCTTACTTACCCGCTTGCCAGCTCGGATCCAGGCTTTTATGCCAAGTTTCCCGACTCCTGTTATTATTCAACTAGATCAGGATAGAAATTGGCATATGCCAAGGCTCCAGCTTTCAACTCCTTAGCTCTTATCTTAAATTGATTTGACTTCACCACTCCAGCTAATCTAACCCAAGGTAACCGATAGCAAAACGAGTTGAGCTCCTTTGAAATATCTACTTTCAGGGCTCTTGGGGGGACAGTGTAGTTTAACAGGGTTTAGACTCTCCTCTTCCCTGTGGATTTCTTTGTGTTGTTGGACTTGTTGGATCTGAACCCATGAGCCTTAGCTGTCGTATGACTCCAGCTCTCTCACCCGTGAGCTAAGGTCGCGTACGCGTGTAATAGATGAGGATCTGATCATACATACAACGTACACGGGCGAAGGAACACGTGTAACGTAAGGAGATCAAAAGTAGTAGTCTTCAAAGAGCTCCTCAGGCTGCACCGTGCTGAATGAAAAAGTTTCTAAGTCAGCTCCAGAAATCATTCCATGAGCCCTTAGGCTCGATGTAATTGACCTCCATGCATCAGCCTTCAATTCCCTATTAAGCTAGGGCGATCAGATAAGTCATTGTCATGAATCCGCTGTTGAATATGCCTTGGGAGAGAAAGAAGGGAGTCCGAAAGACTAAGATCCTAAGGGAAAGGTACATCCAGCATTTCGCTCCTTCTACCATACCATGATTTATCATTCTCAAGATTTAAGGCTCCATCAAGTGAGCAAGTGACATATGCAAGTGCAAGACCGCGCACACCACTTCACACTACTCTTAAAAGATTTTCGAAGAAAGGAACGACCGACCATCCAATGGACCATGGACTAAACTGACACTGCCTGAAAGGACTATGTTCAAGGCCCTAACTAACATTTTTCTCAGCGAGCGAACAGAACGAATGGTTGGCGAAGAGGGTGGCCACGAACCTGCGACGAAGACTGATGGGCGAACTGGCATTTTTTGGGGTAAAAGAGCTGGGTCTAGTTCGAGCTATTCCTTAGTATTCTTTTCCCCGCTGCAATGAAAGATCTTCTTGGAAAGACGAATCCGAGGAGACCATCAGACGTTCTTCCCTTTGCCAGCCTTCTCTTCTATTCATTGGAAAGGGAACTCGCGGAATGGGCATTTTATCTTCTCTTCCAGCTAGTGGTATACTTCGGGCTCTGCTTCTTTTGTCAACTTGTCACTGAGTTCTTCAGTCACCTGAGACTTTCGATGTTTGTCCCCTGTATCACTAGATCGATCGGTATCTCTACAAATTGAGAAAGCTTTCTCAATTCATACTTAGCCGCGAGCAATCAACGTTTGTGATCTCATATATTTCGCTTCCCCGGCATCTTCTTAGAAAGACTAAAGGAAGATCAAGTCCAGGATGGCCACTGATTTGATAGACTGACCTCAAACTCTTTCTTCCTGACCTATTGAACTCTCTGGCCCTAGTTATTTAGGTGGTATGGAGAGATAGAATTCTTTAGAGAACACAGGAGAGCGAGCTTTTCTTTTCACAACTAGGAATGGATGGGTAGCTACAGCGAAGTGAGCGGTTGGAACCAACTTCTTTATATTTGAGTATAATTAGAATGGGGTCTCAGTAATCCTCAACCCCACAAAGCGGACAACGATCCGAGACACTCATCCCCCAGCGGGAGGGACGAGTACCAGACTTTCAACGGGATCCGGGGCTAGCTTTGCTTCCCTCTTCCTCGGGAAAGACCAAGGGTTGACAAAGTTGAGGCGAATCAACAAACTTTTTGAAGCGAAGTGAAGATATAGAAGTCTTTGGCTAAGAGCTTTCTTTCCTATTATCGAATAAAATCCGGATGGAAAAGTGGGCTTGGAAACCACCGCATGCGTGACTCCAAAGGTCACAACAAGATTCGTCGATTTGGGTCTAAAAAGCCACTGAAAATATTTTTTCCAATTCGCCGTGGTATGAAAGTGCTTTGGTCGACTAGAACAGTTAGGGAACAGAGAACAGGGGCGCGAGCATAAATTAACAACCAGACCTATTGAACGAATTAGCCTATGAAATGTTTATCCACGGAAGTTCAGCATGTGTATAACAACATGTGAAAATCTCAGCTTTAAACACTTAACATGGGAATTAATAAAACTGTAACAACATTCAGCAGATTTTATTGTTTCAGCAAAACCTAACTAATCTGAACTCTAAAAATTCTAATATTTTTACAGCATGAAACATATTACAAAATAAGAACTTCAACCAAAAATCAGAATTTTTCGGCATCACAACAATTTATTATAATTAAAACAGTTTTCGACAAAATCACAAAATAAATTATTTCCCTTAGCAAACCTGGTCCAAAAATCCTGAAAATTTCACACCACAAGTAAATATGCTAGAGACACAACATATCAAAGTTCATCAATTTTAGAGCACGACTCAATTTATTATGCATTTAACACATTTCTGCCCATAAATCGATTTAATTAATTAAATTAGCTACAAGCCATGAAAAATTATGAAATGTTTACACGAGCTTCATAATCAACAGAGTCAATTACACCCAAAATTTCAGGGCAATCAGAGCAGCATACGATTTTTAATGAATTAAACACGAAAACAGCAATTTACGAGATCAACAAGTTATAAACGACTCGACAAAACTCGAAAGGGTCCGAGGCCTTACCATAAGGCCAACAACACGTTGTTCCAATTCCCACAGCAACTTAACACTTATAACGCGTTCTCGTTCGATTTCACACGAATCGACGAAATTCACGTATATACACGACAAATATTATAATGAACCGAAACAAACGCATAAAATCATAAATACAAACTAACACGTAGGGTACGAATAACACATCAAATAAAAACGTAAAACTAAACGAAGGGTCGAGGCTCGATACCGTTCTCGGGAAACGCGAGAATGGCTCGAACGGAAAAAGGACGGCACGACGGCTCGACGGCTTCGCGCGGTTCGCTGGGGAAGAAGGGCAGCGGCTCGACTGGTTGCGTAGGAGTAGCTTGCTTGCCACTGAGGTCTTGATGGTGGTGACACGGCGAGGGAACGGCGGAGGAGGAGTTGCAGTGGCTCGTCGCAGAGGAGAAGGGCTCACCGGTGATCGCTCGTGGCCTAGTTGCAGCGGCGACGTGATGATGGGATGAAGACGTCGATCGGATTTGCTGCGTTGAGAGGATGGCGTGGGATGATGGTGACGGGAAATATGCAGCGGGTAGGATGATGGCTGCGATCAGTTTCAAGGGGGAAGGAGATGAGGGCGACGATGAGGGCGACGATGATGATGAGAGGGTAAAGGATTTTACGAGGGATGAAGGCGCGATGGGAAGGGGATGAAAAGTGACGACAGATTTCTCCTCTCTGCTCTTCGCGTGAGATCGAGAGAAATATAGGAAAAAAAAGCTGCGGTGCGTTCTTTTTCCGCTGAGGGGGGGGATCGAGATATATATATATATATATATATAAATTAGGTTTAGAATCTTATTTCTCAAGACACATAACACAGACACGCACACGGTAGAGAGAGAGAGAGAGATAACCGGCCGGTTCGGGCCCTCGGGTTGGGCATCGATTAGGTTCGCCGGGCCGGTTCGTCAACGGTTTAGGATTTCGGTTTTTTCTCGGGCCCGACTAGTCCTAATATTAATTCGGTTTGGCTCGACAATTAAGATTAAATTTAGACGAATATTATTTATAGATATAAGATACACAATTTATTAGATAAATAATAATAACATTTAGACATTTAGGCATTTAATTACAATTTAGCAAATGAATAATATTTAGACAATTAGGCATTTAATCGCAATTTAACAAATAAATGATATTAGACACTCGATAATAATAATAATAATAATAACAATTATTATAATAATAATAATAATGATAGATAAATCCCAAATAATCCATAATTATTCATAAATAAACGGGACATTATAGTATCTGTATATGAAATTCGGGATAGTCGCAACATATCTTTCTTGTGATCCTCAATCTCAAGAACGTTTGTTGATTCCGAATCATTCATATTCAACTACTTGGATAACCATACCCTTGTGTCTGTCAACATTTTCACACTGTCTCCAGTGATCAAGATGTTGTCTACACATAGTACAAAAATACCACCACGCTTCCATTGCGCCACTCACAATGCTCATTTGTTGAATAATCGAATCCGCGATTCAAACTTATCAACCAAATGACCAGATCACCATAATCCAAAAATGAACTGTTTCAGCATACTGACTAGATGCTCTTAGTTCTTCTTTCAATGAATACTTCTGGGTGTTGCTCTATGTATATTCCCACAAGACTCCCGGTTAAGGAAAATGTCTTGATATCCACTCTGCCTAATCTCATAACTCATATGAGTGGCAACAGCTTTAAATTCGGCTACTGGAGAAAAAGCCAACTCATAATAGATCCCATTATTTCTGGGTCTGCTATTTCCACAACAAGCCTTATATGGTTACAGACTTAAACATGGCTACCGGTGAAAAACTAACTCATATTAGATCTCATTTTTTCTGAGTATGCTATTTCACAACAACCCTTGCACTAAAGTCTTCACTTATAGATTTTGTTCAATAGCCATTATGCTACTTGGTAATTCTATAAGAACCCAAATCTGATTAGAGTCCATGACTCCAAATCGGAAATCATTAAAACTTTGCTAAGTTTCTACATCTTTGTCTTGGATCTACTCATTTTATAACTAGGGATAGATTCAAGTTTACTAGAGACTAAGTCCGAGACTTTCTCAAAACATGAATATCATGATCTCGTGTTTACTAGATACTGAGTCCAACGACTCTCTCATTGTCACGATTTCATGAAGTTGCCTTGCAACCCTCCCACTACAACGAGGTTCCCTCTGCAAAAGTGTATAGCACAAAATACGTGTTGCAGTCTTTATTGTGGTATAACATTTGTACACTTAGTAACAAAGTTGAACTTTCAGGCATACGTGCTAATGACTACCTTCTGACTTGCAGTACTATAAAATAATCCCTCATCTCTCGTTACTATGAAGTATATCACAAATAGCCTAATTTTTCAAACAACTTTTCCAATCTTATTAGTATCAACCTTTCCAGCACGTGTGCCGAAAACGCTCTAAATCTGAATGTGTTTCTGACTAGGCCTACACCTTCGTCCACAATTCATTTAGAGTAATGACTACTAACATAGATGGAACTATGTTCAGAACTTACTCTGCTATTTGCAATACAAAAAATGAAATTTCTAATAACTCATCATTGATATAACCAATCTACTTAAAAGACATTTTCCTTCGTCAAGTTACTTCGTCCTGTTTCGATGAACTAGGAGTAACTCGTTGAGACCAAATCTCAACTTCTAATAAGTATTTCCATGATCTTACAAAAGGTATTTAGTCACTACGATGATGATCGTAATGCCATTGATACATCAACCTCGACATTTATTTGGCTTCTAAATCCCTTTGACCTATAAAAAGTCATTTATGTCATTTTAGCTACCAAGTACAATTCGTAGGTCCGATAGTTCCATCCATTCCCAGAGAACCCATAAGTTCAGTGGCTATCCACCTTTTGAATTCTACTAACGCTAAAATTCACAAACATTAGATGCCACATTAACGTATGATTCATTTATTGAAGGAACTTTCTTCTTATTGGTTCTAGCCGATGTGCTATTTATTTCATCTACTGCACTGTGAGATAATTTAGCTCGTTGAGTTCATAAATTGTCTACCCACATACCAAATGGATAAAACGTCACATTTTTTGCCCATACCCAATTTAGAAACTGAACATGAGTTCTTTCTAAACCTTGGCGCGTAAAGACAATTAATCAAAATTTCTATAGAAAACTCTTTTGGAGATATCTTGGTTTATTTGAGTTTACAAATTGTTTAACCTTGTACCAAATGGATAAAATATTTTGCTTTTCAAAACAGCAAATGTATCCTCCATACACAATTTAGAA